TGAATTTACAGAGAAAGAAGGGGGGAAAATTTTTTCTCTGCAGTAAAAACCTTTTTATTATTATAGTGTAGAATCTTTAAGTATTTTTATGCCCGAAGAAAAATGCAAAGTCGACTCTATGCATAAGCTGTAATTTTGCTTCGACAAAAGGTACTTTGTCTATAAGCCTTTAATGGAAGGTGCAAACACATTCTCTTTAATTCACCATTTTTTTTTACCTTGGATATAAAAACGTTGTCGTACATACGTAGATATCATATTACCACTAACATGGCTGATACTCCGGGCTATTTTTTTTTCTATAACGAAAGAAATTATAAATCGATGCGTGATATTAAAATATTGAAAAGTTAATCAATTTCAAAGTTTTGAAAAGTTTACTATTTTTTATCCTTACATATTTTTATTGAACGTATTGGAAGAAATTTTACACATTTTCAGACACTTGACTTCATCTGTTCGTAAAAAAGGGGGTTTTTCGTAACCTTGAATATTTGTTGCGCTCTCGGTACGAAAAATAGCATTCGCATCTGAAACTCATTCAACCAGAGCAATCACAAAAGGTCTTCGGGCATAGGCGTATTTCCAGGGAGAATGGCGCTCACGGGAAAAAGTCTACCATTTAATTCTGCTACACTCGTAATTCATGTTGTACATTCGTATTTATCTGATAGAAATATATTTAATGATACATATATTGTTGCAATGACAAGTTTGTAGAAAAATTTGTGCATGATATCCACACTGTTCACACGTATTTCAAACAAATAGGTCCTAGCAAATTACTGTCAAACAATTATTGTTTAGTAATCCATTGAGTTACATGCAAGACTTGAGTTTAATAGCTTGGCACTTTGAAATAACGATAATACATATCATAGTTAGACTTTAAAAAAAATGAAAGTAAAAGAAGGAACCATTAGAAGTTGTTTTTTTAGTCTTATATAGTTTTATGTACTTGATTTAACGTTCAATAAATATTATTAATTTGACGTTCAATATACTTTAATTTAACTTCAATAATTAGTCACCAAAACATCACATCGACTTCATTAAACAGATTTATACAAAACATTAAAAGTTGAATACGAGATTCTAACGATCTGAAAAAAAAATTAACCATAAGTATTTTTAACAGACAATATATAATAAATTTTTATCTATAAAAAACACTAACGTGCGTAAACGAGTCCAGTAACAAGCGAACAAAGGGTCCGCATGATATTATGATGGGCTTCGATGACAGTAGATTCATTAATGTCAAATCTTTTTGTAGTTCAATCGACAAGGGGGTGTAGTTGATACTAAATATCGTATAGTTTATTTTTTTGCTCTAAAATCGAAAAAATTTCAGATATAAAAAAAAAATTAATATACATATATACATAAGTCATGTAAAGTCGTGAGGATAAGAAAAAATAATTAAATCACCTGAAGATGAACTTCATTCCCAAAGTAGCAGTAAACAAAAAGCTGTCCCAACATACAAATCAGGTAAAGCAAATACGTGCAAGATTCGACAACATTAGTCATATGAAGCGATAACTGATAAACACTAATGGAAATTTCAATTGCACTAACGCAAAACTGGCTAATGATAATTTCGCTAAAGACGGTACAAACTGATTTGGATATTCTGCCGTTAATTAATACAAAAACCACATGATTATTTTAAACTTTTCAAGACACTCTACTAAAAAACAATTGTAATAAACTCTACTTACTCGTAAATATTGACGTGGTGGTTGACACTCTGAGCCAGTAAAAGTTTCTCGATTCTTTGAGCTTTTTCCCACGAATCTGTTCCTCCAATCAATTCGGGAAATCTTGTAAGTCTGAATTGCAGCAAATCAAGTTGGGCACAAACGTGCAACATAAATCCAATTATTAGGGCGTCTGTGGTTATACTGATAGCAGTAAATGTAGCTGCGCCAATAGTATGATGAAAAAAAGTTAGCCAGTAAAACAGAGGATTGGAGATGTCATAGGGTAAAAGCACTTTGTAGGGCAACTCTTGATTCTCAGTGTCTTTGAAAAGTGGTGCGATAACCAAAAATATACCTGTGATCTCGCATAGGCACAAAAGTGATATTGCGACTTTTCTAATTAAATGATGAAAAGAAGAATAATAAATAAAAAAAAAAGAATGAGATTTATAGGGGGACAACATGAAATGGTTTCTCGGATATTAAGCGCTTTCGAAATAAAAATTTGTATTTCACATACCTGCAGTAATACTCGCATCGTTTTTCTATATTTTTTTCAAAGCAATCATGGAACAAGCAGCGGTCTTGTTTAAACATTTCCATCAGACTAATTACTTGCTTTTGATTCAGCAAAATTCGGATAGCTTTGAAGCAAGTTAAATTCGTTGACAAAAGAATGAAGAAGGTGTCGTTGAAGCTCTTGAAATCATGTCTAACAAAAACTATTTGCGCCAATTGAGATAATCCTAAGCTGTACATTAGGAAAATGACAAAACAAGAGTACATTTTGTACAAGAGTTTCGAAGTTTTCGACGACCAGTGCGAAGGACACCAGACACCTGTTATTGATAAAATGGCAAAATGTGTCGATAACATCTTTGTATCGTTAATTTAAAAATAATTCGATATTTATTGGTCAACTTTTTTCTGTAAAATATTGTGTTTTGTTGCAGTTTTACTGAAAAAAAATATTGCTCGGTAAAAAAAACTTGATATTACGTACGAGATCATTGACGTTTTGTTGTAGACTATCAAAGTCTTGAAAAACACATTGGTAGGTTTGTCACATTGCATATTTCCATTTCCATCTACTATAATTTTCTTAAATATTTTATGAGCGCTTATCCTTCTCCATAATTTCGCTCAACTTACAGACAAGCCAGCAGATGGCATAGTCGTTTGACTGTGAAGTCGCGAGAAGCTTTTGCTCTTCAGTGTACGCAAAAAGTATAGTCATCAGTATTGCCTAGCACTGAAGTGTTTTCTACGACGATATTTGAAATTATACAAGTAAACTCTAGTATAATTTCGAAAGTATACTTGATAAGAAGATCGTATTTTAAAGTCTATCCTATTTGTAGTAGAGATGTTATAGCTCAGACAGTAATAATTAATATTTTAAAATGATGTATTTCGTTCTTTGTTAAAAAATTGTGTATCTAATAATTGTTACCAGCAGTTTTTAATATAACTATCTACAGTCGTTAGTTATTTAAGGTAATAAAAATATTTTTCATAAGAATGTTTGAAGGAAAATGTAGTGGTCCTCAAAATAATTTTCTACTAATGTAAAATTGATAATACCACCCATCAATCTGACTTATTAAACTATTTTCAAACTTCATAGAAAGCATCATAACATTATGCAGCTTTATCTGGTTTGTATATAATTTTAATTGAATGTTTAGCTACTCACGTAGAGTAACTATTTATAATCAGGACACATTCCAACTTAAATTTATTTTTATTAATTTAGATTTGGTCTTTCGTACTGTAAAGACTTTTTTTCTCAACTTTAGTAGATTTTATCAATTTTTGGCAATATGTAATTTTTGGTTAAATATGTGGCAACTTTCTAAAAGAAATCAATCAAACAAGATTTTTTTTTTTAATTTTCATTGATAAAAAAAACTTTGAACACAAGCTAAAAGAGTAATCACTAGACATGTTCTTTAAAATTAAGAGATTTAGTCAACCAATTAAACATATTTTTCATATGCTATACATTAATTCTTGAAGAACAAATAATAAGTATTAATTCGAGTTTAATACGTTGAATGCGGAATAAGATAATTTTATGATCTGTAAATTTATAAGAAGTGATTATAATACATGATAGATTTTTTACTACAACATTATTACTCCAAACAAAGTACTCACGCTAGTATACGCATTCAGTGATAACGTTATAAAAGCTCCACAAGTGACAAGGATTGGTGACGTTGTCCGGACCATCATAATCAGTAAAGATTTTAAAGTATCTGTATGTAGCAATGTCCAGTCAGAGTTACAAACTATTTTACTAAATTCCATGCTCTGACAAAAAATTTTATGGATACATAATTGTTGAGTTTTTAATTAAAAAATTATTAAAATTGTATTGGTATACCTTCATCGTAACTTCATTTCCGAACCAACAGTACAGAAACAATTCGACAAACATGCTGGTTAGAAAAATCAACATAAACGAGACTGGTGCTGAATTCTCACTTTTTACCGTCAGTTCGTAAATTGTTATACATAGTATTATAATACTCAAACAAAACTGGACCAATATACAAGGAGCGAAAATTGTTTGTAGATCTCTGGAAAATCTTTAAAAAAAAAATTTTTTATTGACATTTAGTATTAAAAATAATTTATTTTTATCAATACATTTCTACGCACTTGATAATCTGAAGATGATGACGAACATTTTCCTTAATAGTTTCTTTTTCCAAAAGCCAAACCTCATTTCTGGAAAATTTCTGCGCAACTGCCGCTCTTGACTTTTCTGGTAAAGATTGCAATCTATGACTCATAAGGCCCAACTGGGCACAAATTTGCATCATAAATCCAGATATGATAACATCGTTCGTAGTATTCCATGCAGCTCCGATGATGATCCCCAAGCCCTGATGAGCGTAAGTAGCCCAATAAGTGAGATCATTCGTAATGTCATAAAAATACCAAGCCTTCAACTGTAACGTGTACTTTTCTTGAGCGAAAAAAATTGGCCAAATGGCTGTCGAACCCGAAGATATTCCAACGAGCGTTGCATATGATATCACTACGTACCTGTACGAGAAAGCTTGTATTACCAGCTTTAAATATCAAAAATAAAAAATAATCACATTTGTAGAGCTGCAGGCAAAGAAAATTTTGTTTTGGCAGACCAGACGATTAATCATTAGAACAGCTAAAATTCACTAATCAACCGAGTCCCAGCTTGTAATCAAACTTTTACAATAAAACGTAGGATAAGACTCTTTTTTTTTATTATATTTGGATATTAAAGTGGAATCTAAGATTGGTACTACATCAATTAAGGGGCTCCATAACCTTATAACGCAATAAAGTGTTCTGTTCAACTCACTAGTACTCGATTTTTTTAAACTTTATGTTCGATGTACACCTACACTAGCAATGTAGACACATACAGGTATACAAATATACACGTCAACATGACAAATGTTGCGTTCTTCGGCTTCATTGAGGAAAGAAATTCATAATCATACATGAAGAAAAGATTACCTCGACATTTTATCATAATACGAGCAGAGTCGACGTTCTTCCATGTTTTTGGGAGTGAATTCTTTTTCCACCAATACATTAGCCAATTCATCGATGCGCTTTCTCCTCCATAGAAAGGTTACGCCTTTGACGCAGCCGTTAAAACTAGCCAGGAAAACATAACTGGCCTCGGCGAAATCGTCTATGTTTTCCGTTAAAAGTACAAGGGCTATTAACTCTGACAAAATCAGAAGGGACATTACTACGACATTGAAAAAGGTATAAATGTTGTATAAGCCTTTGGCGGGTCCCCATTTCCAATGCACTGGCCGCCAAAGTCCACAACCCGTTGCCAAGACAAATGCTTCGGAAAGTGTATGCATTTTTTTATTTATCTACTTGCTTCTCATATATTTGTTAGATAAAACACCATTTATGTAAATTTTTATATATTTTATATTCACTATTGCATGGTTTTTAACGACAATTTTTCAC